TTCTTTTTTTTAAGTTTCTTTTCTTGGAGAAGCAAAATGGGAGGTAGGTTAGCATTGGGAGTTCAGGGCAAGAGTACAGAACAGATGACTGAACAGAGAAAGCAGGAAGGAGGCTTGAGAGGCTTTTAGGACCAGACGAAGTTCTTTGTCATTAAAGAAACTGGGCAAAACAAAGAAGAGCTATACTTTTCTGACAGGAAGGAGCAGGAAAATTGTTTTGAGTAGTATAATAGTTAATGACCTGTGTTCTGTCACGTCTTACCCTGTCTCATTTGGCTTTGGCGATAGAGGAAACTGCATTCTCTGGTCATTGTGAATCTTTTGAGGACATGAGATACCTTTTTTCTAGAAAGGAAATGTTTTATCCTAGACTTTTAAAAGTGTTTATTTTAAAGGGTTTAACCCTATCAAAAATTTTTTACATGGGAATAGTTTTGTGTGGCTGTAGACAATCTATTTTCATGCTGCTTCCCTCCAAGCAGAGGTGAGGACCAGCTGCAAGAACTTGTCTGCAGTTATGCTGGTTCATAACAGAGGAGAAAATTTGGATGTGGGTGTTCAGGTCTGACTTGGTGATTCCAGAGGATGACACACTCTAATTTTCTTTCTGTTCCTAGTGTCTGAAGAGGCTGCATATTGAGGAGAAGTCTTGCAGCTCTGCTCTAACAGAATTTCCAAGCCAGGCATCTCCAAGGTAACTGGGGACAGCATGGGCTGTCTTGGGTCACAGATTCAAGAGACACTGGGCTGAAATTTTTGAGCATGCAGTCTAAAATTCTGCTCAAGATACACTTTGGTTTCTCAGCAGCAGACTCTTAGTGCTGAGTGTAGTCCATGAAATGTCTGCTCTGAATTTTACTTGTCCAAAAGTCTGCTGCACCATATCTGCTTATTAACCGCAATACGTAGCCTATTGATAGACTGTACGCTACAACGTAATAGATGACTATAGTAGAAGGTAAAGTCACTTAGCTGTCTTCAAGTGCTTCCTTGTGCTTGAAGTTTTATGGTCTAGCATATTTAGATCTGTCTGCGTTCTAAGTAATACATTTCAGAAACACTTTTGGCATCCCTCACACTCTTCTGTTTCTATTGATGCACAAGATACACTGTCTTTCATTACATAGGGAGGCATAAAACAGTAAGCTCTTTATAGCCTGTGGCAGTTATATATACACAATTTGTATGTAACAAGGATACACAGCAGTAAATATATCAAAACCAGGACAAGTAAAAAAAACCAACCTATTGTTAAACAAATACTGACTGAAAAAGCACAAATAACAAAATCTATCTAAGCTGATCCTGCATTTCACATCATAGAATTATGTTCATAATTTCATCATCACTTTTGAGGGGTCCCATCTTCAAAACCATGTAGTCAGGATACAGTCAAGCACCTCCCTACCTTCTCTCTGAGAAGGCTGAGGAGGCAGTTGAGTCCTTCATTGGTAGATACTTAGCCCTTCATTTCACTTACTGGAGGAGTATGGAGTGTCCACTGCCTTTTAAAGATGATACTGGACTAAAGCATTTAGGGTGTGCATGGTTTTGTTTTGTATTGTTTGTTTGGGTTTTTTAAAAATTCTTTCCAAGCAATTCTGCAGCCTGAGTTTCCTTGGTAACACCTTGTGGCTGGCATAATGTTCTATAGCATCTCTTTATTCAACTACTTTTTTTCCAGCAATGTCTGTTGTCTCACTGTGTTTCATTTCCAGTTCCTGTTTGAGAACTTCTCCTTATGCCCTTGTCCTGCTAGCATTTGATGTACATGTTCATGTCTGATTAACACAATTGCTGTTGAGCCTGCTGGAAGGAGCATAGGCAAGATTGACTTTTACTACCCCAAGGATGGAGGTGGAGGGGAACTAATCCTGTTATGGGAAGTAACAGAGAGCGCAATCCTTGGAGAGTCAGAGTTGTTGCTCCTGTTGCCAGTACAGATGGAAGTCAGACTGCTGCCACTGGGAGCAGTTTCCTCGCCTTACAGTTAACTGCTCCTTTCTTCAAGTGGCAGAACAGCAGCAGCAAGGCTAAGTTTTCAGGACTTCAGTTTCAGGGAGGAATGGTTGACACAGCTGGTTTTTTTCCCTTTTGCTATACAGAGCTTCTTCCCCTAACACAAATATGCATTCCTTTGTTACCTGTTTATGCATCTTTTGGGTATTGTCTCAGCAATTCTTCTTTGTTTGTCTGCAGGAAAAGGACAGTTCAGCTTCAGGATTTTCACTGCATTGCTATGTTGGGACGTGGCCACTTTGGGAAGGTAGTGTAGAAATATACTCTTTGTGGAGGAGGCAGTAGGACTGTAGTTGTGAAGGTGGGCCTCTGCCTCAGAGTCTGAATAGAAATGTTGCCGTGCAGAAGAGATTTGTTGCAGTGCAGATATACAAAACAAACTTAGCCCAACCACACAAGCAGCTGATAACTGTTGTTAACAGTAAAAACTCGTGAAGATTTGTGGCTTCAAAACCTGGAAAAAACTGTCCTAGGAATGCTAAGTCATTTCATAAAGCACACCATTACCATTCCTTTCATTATCGTGGTGATTGCTACTGGAATAGCTCCATTCCCAAAAACTGTATGCATAGTTGCTTGCTGTGAGAGCTCTGAGGTGCTCATAAAGCACTAGGCCTGCTGTGATACTACTGTTTGTGAAAAAGAATATGACTTACAGTGACATCCTTCTGGACTGCTGCAGCAGAAGGAGCAGAAAAAAAGTGCTCCATTTTTGGAGTTAGTTGAGCTTGGTTTTGAGAATGACTCTCTGGAGCGGATGGAAATAATTTGTGTCAATGGGAGTCAAAGCAATCCAATAAAGAAATAACAGATTTGTTTGAAGTGCTGCTTTTCTGTTGTCTTTTAGGTACTGCTGGCCCAATACAAGGCAACTGGGAAGCTGTATGCTATCAAAGCCTTGAAGAAAAAAGATATTATTAGGAGAGATGAAATTGATAGGTGAGCTTTATATAGAGATGGTACTATTGCCAGAGGCTACTTTGACACACCTTGTAATCAAATGTTAGTAGGTATGATGCATACTGGTCATGGTACTATTAATGTGACCTTAAGGCTTTTAGGTAACTAAAATCAGGAATAAGGAAACTTATAACACCGCTGCTTTCTAGCTGCTGGTGGAATAACACCTGAAGAACACTCTAAAACTCAGGGTTTGGAAGTATGTAAGATAAATATTGTATTAACCTTCACTTTTTATTTCTTAACTTAAGATGTAAAGATTTTCTTCTTCATCCTGTCTTTCTCAAAACAGGCTTTTCTGCCAGGTTTTAACATTGACGTTTTTGTTCTTTGAATCCTGGCAGCTTGAACTGTGAGAAGCGAATATTTGAAGTGGTCAATTCTTCTGATCATCCATTCCTTGTCAACATGTTTGCATGTTTCCAGACACCTCATCATGCTTGTTTTGTAATGGAATATGCTCCGGGTGGTGATCTTATGATGCGCATACACGAAGATGTCTTTCCAGAGCATATGGCACAGTGAGTTAGAATTAGTCTGGTTTCCAGGCACTATATTTTTTTAGTTTGATTCTCATATATTTCCTGATAACTATTTCTCTCTTTTAGGTTTTATACAGCCTGTGTAGTCTTGGGGCTCCAGTTCTTGCATGAGAAGAAAATAGTTTATAGGTAATGCAACAAAGAATCAAGTATAAGACAGTTCATCAACTTGAAAGTTTGTTTTTCCTGTAGCTATGTGTCTGGAGCTCACTATCTTGCTGGGCTTTCTAATCTTTTTGTCTGTCTTTATTTTCCCCATCGCCTGTTGCTATCAGCATGTTCATCGTGCTTACAGTAAAGAAAGTCATCTAGAAACTATTCATCTGACATGTTGCAGGGGATTAATCTTCCGTGACATGTCAATACATTCTGGGGTGCACCTGTAAGTCACTGCTTTCTTTTTTACTGTGATAGTCGAGTAATTTGTCATGCTGTTGTGGGATGCTCTTTTCCAGATGAATAAGCCCCACCCAGCTCTAAGTTGCTTTGTGAGCCTTTCATTAAGAGGAAAATACCGATAAATTAAGGGGAATCTTCCAAATAATACATTATTTAAACCAAATGTAGACTTCACTCAAGTTAGATTTTATTCTCTTTAGTAACATCTAGCTTCTGCCTCTTGCAAAAAAAGATGTTGGATGGCAATCCTTAGACTTCATCCACCATTTTGTTTCCCCTCCTTTACCTGCAGGGACCTGAAATTGGATAATCTCCTTTTAGATGCTGAAGGATTTGTGAAGATCGCAGATTTTGGATTGTGTAAGGAAGGTGAGTGACCTTGGTGAAGCTGAAATGGAACCATCAAAGCTAGTTTAGGATCTGGGCTTTAGTAATGTGTTCACAAATACTGGTACTGAGGTACTTGTGTGTAACTTGTATTCATCCACAACTTAAAAATAAAACAAAACCCACCAAAACAACAAAAAAAAGCCCCAACAAACTAAACAACAAAAAACCCCCTTACCTGTCTGGTCACGATGAACTTGGGAAGAGTACTTTGTCCTTTAATCTTCAGGAAACTTCCAAAGGAGTTTACAATGTGGTGGTTTGTTCAAAGGAGCCAGGATACAGGATACTACAAAATGCATGCTTGAGTAAATGAGCAATGGAATCTGCAGGAAGTTTCTCTGGGTTTGCTGTTTGTTTCTTGTTGTATATTTGTCTGTATATTTCTTATTTGGAGTTGTTAGGGGCCTCAGGTTTCATATTTCCTTATTGGCATTTACAAGCATTGACAAGAACCTTTGCTCAGTTAACAACGTTAGATTATCAAGTGATAAACTATGGCTTTCAGAAGGTGAGGCTGCATGCGATCCATTCAGTAATGTGTGCTGGATTTTACAGAAGTGTTCTTTTCCTACAGGAATAGGTTTTGGAGACCGCACAAACACCTTCTGCGGCACCCCTGAATTTCTGGCTCCAGAAGTCCTGACAGACATCTCGTACACTCGGGCAGTAGACTGGTGGGGATTGGGTGTACTCATTTATGAGATGCTGGTTGGTGAGGTAAGGCCACCTTTCTCTAAGAAGATCTCACTAAACAGTCTCGGGGAGAGTAGTACTTGAACACCTGAGATAAAATTTTCCTCAATGCAGCCAACTATTTATTAGTACTTAAATTTTTCTCATTCATGATGCTTGCCAAACACTAATTAATCCATACAACTCCCTGCTATTCTCATCCCTATTTAATAGTGAGGAATGAGTGCTATGTTGTTTAAATAATAAAATGTCACAATTGCAGTCACCATTCCCTGGAGATGATGAGGAAGAAGTCTTTGACAGTATTGTCAATGATGAAGTCCGGTATCCACGATTCCTTTCATCTGAGGCACTCTCTATAATCCGTAAGGTAATGGGCTTGATGGGTCTCTGGGAACCTGAAGAATTTGCATTTACTGTGTAAGTGGATCCAGAGAGACTCTATTAGGACCAGATTGCTTTTGTGTGTGTAATCTGGAGCTGCCTACACAGACTAAGGAAACATTTAAAATTTACACATATTTTTTCCTTTCCTTCTCTTTATATAAATGCTATTCTTCTGTCTAAGGATGACTAAGCAGGCTTCTAACTGAGGGCTGTTGCTGCTAATTCTGAAATGGAGCAGTGTTGATTCACGGGCAGGAATGTCATTCAGTGGAGATGGCTTGATTCAGATTTTGAATGTGACCCAGTAGTCACAGGTGCACAATTAAGATGAGATGCTTCATGCGGTTTATAGCAGGTATCTTATTGATGTTGGCAAGTTGTTTACAATGAACCAGGTCTAAGCTATTACTAGCAGATTATGACTTTGCTGGAAAGTGAGAATGAGAAGATACTGAGGGGTCAGTCCATTTTCTTTCTTTTGTTTTTCTCTTTGGAACGTTATTCCTGTCCATCCTTGTTCCCAGTGTTTAATTTTGAGCTGACACTTTCCTGCAGCTTCTTCGGAAATGTCCAGAGCGTAGACTGGGAGCAGGGGAAAAAGATGCAGAAGAGATTAAAATGCAGGCCTTTTTTAAGGTAGGAACTCACATTATCCCTCCCCCTCATCCCTTGTGTTCGGGCTGAGGGTGATTTGCTTTCTGTTGGTATTGAGGCATATTTCCATTAGTTATCAGTGCGATCTTAGAGGTAGCTTCTGTTGCACCTCATTGCTCTATTCAGGAATATGTGTTTCAAGTTATGTTTGAAGTGACATCCCCCAAGTGTGTTTTCTGGGATCTGTAAGCTTCCAGAGCCAGTTTGTTACTTCAGATTATGCTGCTTCGATGTACCCACCTTTTGAGCTGTCAACAAATACCCTTTTTTAAATCAAACTACAGCAGCCAAAGATGCTGTCAAGTGATGACAGTGATTGCCAGTCAGTCAATTTGATGGCACCTGCATTTGCAGGGTATACATGAACACTAAGAGAAATTGAGGTTAAAGACACATTTGCTTTGGGTCAAGGGTATACATCTGTTGCAGGCAAAGGTGTTACCGTTCCTCCTTGTCATTACCCATCTGCCAGAAGTTATTAGCCTTATAGACCCTGGCTGGCTTTGCACTGGAGTAAGAAAAGAACTTGAATGTCGGCAGAACTTGCTGGGAAGTCCACAGACCCACCCAGCCACAACTGTGCGTTAGTTTTGCCCTTCCTAAATATAGTTTGAGCTGTAACTTTGTTTCTTGGAGTTCTGAAGAACAGCCTTAGACTGTATGAAATCTCTGCTGTTTGTTTTGGGGCTTTTTTCTTTTTTTTTTTTTTTTTTAATTAGAAGAAATAGGACATGTTGCAAATGATCTGGACGGGAGGCTGCAATCCTCCCTTTTACTTTCACATTTCATAAATAATGTTAATGTCAACCTGGCCTGTTCACTTCCTTCCCTTACAGGAAATTGATTGGGACGCCTTGTTTGCCAGGACACTGAAGCCCCCTTTTGTGCCCACTTTAAGAGATCCAACTGACATTAGCAACTTTGATGAAGAGTTTACATCACAAAAGCCAATCCTTACTCCTCCAGAGGAGGTTGCTCTCCTAACCCGTAAGGAGCAGACTGTCTTCAAGGACTTTGACTTTGTCTCCAGACATCTTTTAGATGTTTAATTCCTGTGCTGTAAGAAACATGAACAGATTGTTACCACCTTGAGAGAGTGTAGAGAGGACTTGGCATGGGCAGTGGAAAAGTCAACAGAATTTGTAGAACTGGTAGTGCTGATGACCCCAGGAAGAGAGTGCCCTGCAAGCTGAGTTAATCTACTGTGGTTTTTTTCAGCCTCAATTGTTGGAGGGATACTGGATGTCAATTATCTTTTAAGGAGTAATTAATGTTTGACTGGATGTATCTTCTTCTGCCATTGAATATAGATGCGAATTAGGAATTTAAGCTGGACTTAATTTAATGAAATCAAATAATCTCTGCAACCCAGGTTACTCTTTGCAAAAAGCCTAAGTAAATAGCATGGCTCTTTTAAGTTGCATAGTAGCAGGAGGAATGTCCGCTTCTCACCTGTTTTCTAGAAGAGATATGCAGCATTCCCTCTTTGTAATGATTTTATGCCCATTCCCACTCATAATTATGTATGCCAGAGAAGGAATGGATTTTAACACAACCAAGATAATGATGTTTGGGTTTGGTAACAATCCAAGTGATCTATCTTAAGGAAAAGTAGTCTCTTTCTACTTCGAGGATGCTAAATCTTAGCTATTATTTTAATGATGTTAAAAAGCCACAGCTTTGCACATGCTAATTTTTTTTTGAAAATAAAGATACCTTTTCTTATAAAGAAATTTCAGCTTTTCATCTCCTTGGTGTTAGCTGAATGTTTCAGATCGGGGCTACCCATATTCTGCTCAACAGGCAGGATTTTATCTTTCTCTGTAAATGTCAATAGTAATGTTTTCTTCTTTCCTTCTCACTCAAGTTGTCTGTGTACACATTGCACGGTGTCATCAGCTGTCACATACAAATGGCTGCAGTCAAGTTGTCTCTCCACAGATTTTATCAATGTGTATAACCTGTATCTTATTTAGCTATCCCAAAAAAGGAGAGTGTTAATATTGGAAAATTAGTAAGTTAAAGGTGATTTAATTTGCCTGGTAACATGTCTTGTAATTATACTTCATAAGATAAATTTTCTTCTGTTAAATTCATAATGTTAGCTTGTTGGGGGGGAAAAAAAGGAAGGGTATCTAGAAATGAAGCATCACACTGATGACCAATAGGGATGCACAGCTATTACTGTTTCAGTTTGTCTTCAACAGAGGTAGACAGAAGTTGAACTAATGCAGTTGTGCTCTATGTGGAGAGAAGGTTTGGGTGCAGCTAGTACGTCATCATTATTAAATCAAGGCTGTTCTAAGTGCTTCACAATTCCAAGAGGTAAGAGCTTTGTTTGTGGAAAACAAACAATTCACGCTGAACCTAGATTTCCTATTTTCAGAGCCAAGTATAACTGCTTCTGAAAATTCCCACATACAAATATCTTTTCAACCTCCTGCTCTGCCTTGCAGTGTAATGGCCTATTTAAAGCAGGATATAGATTTTCCTCACCCGTGTTTGAATAGCAATGGTTGGTTTGCTGTTGGCCCCTACAGTGAGATTTCTGACTTTTCTTAAGGTCAAGGCCTCTGTAAAGCGGTAAGCAGCACAGTGGATTGTTAGCACAGGTGAAACCTAGAACTTGGGATCAAAGAGAGAGGCACAAAGAACCAAAAAAAGGCACGTTTAATCTTTTAATTTACAGTTTATAGTAAAGTAAAAAGACTGTAAACTACCATCCTGGTGCATTTAAAAAAGAATTCCCAACAAAACAAAACTGTGTGTTTTGAGCTGTAAAACCTGCTGACAAATTTTTATTTGACTGATACCTGAAGAAGCAGAAATTGCTAAGTGGCAGATGAGCCATATGCCAGGCAGGCACCACAGTGACACAAACAGCCATAGGAATCCTTTCTGGATGTTATGCCATTGTTATGAAAACAATTCTTAGTGTTCTGATATCCCTCTGATAGGCATTTCTTGGTAGAAACCAGACTGGACACAGATTACATATGCTGGAGTTGGTAAAAAAAGGGATCCTTCTGCTGTTTTTAAACTGCTTTTGGACTATGGTGCTGTATTAGTGACTACACTGTTCTTTCACGAGTACTCATCAACTTTTAAATCCCGAGTGCATCCTACCAGCTTCCCAGACGTGCTCGTGAGCTGGTGTTAATTCCTGAGCGAAGGCAATCAAGGCACAAAATAATTTTTGTAAGGTTTTGTTGTGGTGCTGTTATTGTGGGTTTTTTGGGTTTGTGGGTTTTTTTTAAATGGAAAAGGATCAGGACTAAAACTCACATCACAGCCTTTTCTGTTTTTAAAGCTAAAATTGGTCATCCCAAACTTCCTTTTAGTTCCTTGTGGAAACTTGAAGAATAACCTTTTATTATAATGGAAAACAAGTAAGCTTGCTGCTATTCTAGAAAGTTATCAGGACCCCCTAATCTCAATGAAACAAATAGGATGTAGAATCTTTCCTCTTGCATTGAAACTTGGTATTATTTTAATAAAATTTTACTAGCATGTTGAGGTAGTAATATTACCAACAGCGTTACTTGAGCTAGACAAGAAGTACCCACCTCTGCTACTGGTTCTCTCCCCACAAGCTACAGGAAAGGCCTGAGCGTGAAGCTATATGCAGAAATAATTCAGTGCGCAAGTGTTACTTTTCTGTCCAAAGAAAAGTGGGATGGTATCATTCTTTGCTGACTACATTCAAACTAGTCTGTGAATTGTTAACAGCACCATCAAATTAATGAAAAAACTGTTAGAAAGCTGGTCAGGGCATCACAAAGTACAGGGTAAATATCTCATACGCTAAATTTGGTGCCTTACAGCTGTTTCTCATGCAGATTAACATTATTAAGCCTCAAATCTTTGGGAAAAGCATGAAGTTGAGGCATTTGGTCAAAATGAAATTTGCTTTTGACTGTCCAAATATTTATGCAAATATTTCTATTATGTGCCCCACACCACTGACAAAAGGCACTGTGGTTCTCACAGTGAGAACTACAGGGAAGAAAGGCCACAGGAATTATATTGATTCTGGCTGTAATAGCTGCTTTTCCCTAGCAGCAAAAGGAGACGGAAACTTTGGGGAAGAGAAGTGAACATGGATGCTCACACTAGTCTTGCATCTCTTCTGGAGAGGTGTGTACGCAGTTAGCAAAAGGAAGTAAATTTGGAGAGCTACCTTTGCTCAGTCCAGAAATCAGCCCTGCTGGCCTTCCCAGAACCAGTGTTTCCCCTTTAACAATGTTATTCATATATAAAAAAATAACCCTGACTATCCTTGAAATGTAATTTGCAGGATGAACAGGCTGTGGAACAGGTTGCGTAGTTCACAATGTAGTAAAGTTCTGTGCAAGGAAACAGCAGCAATTGCATTAGCAAAGCTTCACCCAGCAACCTGCAGCTGTATTGGCACTCTAGCAGATAGGTACTACTGTGACTAGACGGGCTCATTGTTCCTGTGAAAATAGATTTTCTCCCATGCAGTGAGGTGGCATGAACAGAAGAATCTCCAGAGATTGAGGACTACCCCTTGGTCAAAGGGATTCTCCAACTCAGAGTGTCGCAGGTAGGAGATGCGATGATGTGACATAAATTCCCAGGTGGTGGTGTTGCATGAGATCAGATACAGGTGTGAAATAAGAAGCAGGAGGACAACAATGGTGAATATGACTATCAGGAGGAAGGACACGAGGAGGAAAATGTTGTGCTGCAGCCAGTCCCAGGACTGCTCAAAGTAGAGGCCTGACCTGTCAATTCAAAGAGAAAAATTCACAGTTAAAGATGTAGAACTAGGTACATAAACCAAGAAAACTTGATGGCACATTGATTCATAACTAGTGAGACTTAGGTAATCGTTTACTACAGAGAGTTAATATACTACAAACTCTTAAGAGACTGCACCAGTAGTGACTTAAATTCTAAGTTTAAAAAATGCTGGTTCCCCTGACAGCTGAGAGAGACAATCATCTTCAGTTAACTCCTCTCCTGAACAGGCATACAGCTGAAACCCCACTGGAGTTTCCAGTACTTAAATTTGCAAACAAAGATCGTATTAAGGTAACTGAAGCAAAATTAGTTAGCTTTTGTACTGTTGTTAATTCTGTTAATTTAAGCTTAAAACAAAGATGAACAATGAAACCCAAACTATCAGATTCTGCTCAACGATTGATCAGCTGCATTGTTCCTCAGCAGATGAGGGGGCTCAGAAGAGCTGATCTCCAGGATGCGAAAGAGGGTGAAGATAAAGCCAATCCAGTCGCTGCTGTGTTCTACATAAACCCTTCAGTGGGGCTCTCAGAGCACCAAAACTTTTTGCAATCTCAGAAGTCAAAGTGCTGACTCCAGGCCTTACCAAGCAACGTGACCTCCCCACAGCAGAACTACAAGCTGCATGCTCAAGTAGACGATGAAGAAGGGGTGATTCTTTTCTCCTACACAGTTCTCAATCCAGGGGCAGTGATGGTCATAACGCCGTACGCAGTGCTGGCACAGCTGGCAGTGCTTGGCTCGCATTGGTTGCTGCAAAACAATACAAAACACCCAGTGGCAACAGTTCATGGGTTCAACTCCCGTCTTGGTAGAAGAGAACATTGTGCAGTATCGTCTTCCTCCACGGCAGCACTGTCCCAAAAGCACTCCAGTTTGAGATAACAGCTCAACTTAAACATTGCTAAGACAACTGAAGGAGATCATGATTCCCCTGGTTCAGCTCCAAATGAGTGAGATTCATGTTAAATGACTCTCCCACATACTTCTATCTATAAATTTTCTTTATTTACCTATTTATAGGAAGTCTAGTGTGCAAAGCAGGGAGATAGAGCCAGTCCCTTCTATTAAGGGAAGCATGAGCAGAGTGTTGAGGTGAAAAACTAGGACCACAGCTATTGAGGAAAGTGTGCAGGGATGGGATGTGTTTACAGGACTGCACAGAGGAGGGAAGTGCCTCTGCTTCCATGTGAATACAAGACACTTGCACAGGAAAGCAGCTCGAGTACCAGGAATAGAGAAGATGAAAGATCTGGCTGAGGAAAGTAGTATGAGTGTGCCTCCTAGGATTTGTTCCCTGAAGCGTATATATGTTTTGCCAGCTCTTCCTCTTGCAATAAGCTCCCTTCTCCTGGTAGATATTCTTCAGGAATTTATGGAAGATGGGATAATGCTTGATTTTTATTAAATGGATAAGGATCGCTCTGAAAACAGGCACTTCTAGGCTTAAGGCAAACTGTTTTAAGAGCTAATTTAATTACTCTAATTTTTCCTTCATGCTATCTTTTACAACTCAGGCTAATGTTTGTTGGTTTTAGGCCTCCAAACAAGCTCACAGCTACCAGCAGTTCTTGTATGTCATGCTTAACTGCTTTTCTGAGTCTCTACCAAGATATCTTCGAAATAACCTTCTTGACAATACTGCAAGGTCTGACTGACATGGCAGCATGGAAAACTAGCATACATGCCAATGTCCATCACTACTACACCATTAGCTACACAATTCGTTTGGATTGCTTTTCAATTCAGGACTGTGTCTGAATTCAATTTGCTAGTTGTATTTACTACTTCTGTGAGTTTTTCAGCAGGACCCTGTGACAGAATTAAGCCTATCTGCCATGCCTCCAAACCACTGAGCAGTGAGCAGTAATGATAGAGCAGAAAACCAACCACCAGCAACACCAGCTGAACAAAGACGGTGCCAAAAATTCTAAGCTTGCAAATTGCTCATACCGTTCTCTTCCAGCATGTTATGAATGCCTACCTTCACCATGCAGTAACCACAATGCCGCATCTTAATATCACTTGCAACTTGGGGTATCAGCATGCTTTGTTCTTCGCTCTTGCCTGCCTACAAAAAAAAAAAAAAAAAGAGTGACTGAGGACCTTTTGTGTGCTGCTGTCTTGGCATGACTGAGCTGTCCAGATCCTTTTATGTAAGTGTTACACAGTGTTGGTTATCTCTAGCATTAGGAAGGTTAAACAAAATAATTCCTTGGCATTCCTACAGAAGCTGCAGACAGTCAAGGTACAGTGAGAGAGAACAGGCTACTGTAACCATCAAAAGAATGTTTGCACAGAGGCAGAAATAGTTGTGGACAAGATGCCACACTGATCCCAGTGCTACACTTTGGGACAAAACACTAAACAAGGTTAAACTTCGCTTCCAAACACAATAACGTTGTCTTTTCAGTATAAACAGTGCTACTTATTCATAACACAGCCAACATTTACATTAAGGATGGATGATTAAAATTGATAATGCTTTTGTCCTAGACAATCTGTAAGGTAGTAGACCTGGAGTAGACTATGTCTCAGTTACTGAAACTTTGCATCTCTATTTACTCCACTGTAACTTGTTTGTGTACATGTCCTCTGAGAGGGCAACAAATCTATCAACAACTCAATAATTAGAGCTGCAGAGAGCACTTTCTTCCAAGCTTGCCATTCTATTTGGATTTTTGCACTTGTACCACTTAAACATAGATCATGTATATGTTCTAAAGGGTACTGCAGCCTCTGATGCAAGAGAGGACTTATGCTCAAATGGCACAATGCGCTTACAACAGCAGCGTGGTGTAAAAGACACGCTTAAAGTCTGTGAACCCTACTGCAGTTACAGAATATGAGTTGGAGACTTAGGCCTGATCTCCTCCTTTATGCCAAGTGCAACAGAAACTGTTTCAGATTGTTCTTATCTAGGTGAGTGGGGAAAAAGAAAATAAGCCTATTGATTTTATAGCCCCCGCACTTTTTTCTATTCATGAAGTGATATACCTTTACTTCCTCTTCAGACTTAACAAAACCCGGATCCATGAGAGACACCTTAAAGTACAGCAGGACAGAGCACAAAACCAGCAGGATGAAGATCAATGGCTGCAGCAGCTCTCCACGCTCCTCTTGCTTTTGCAGATCTGAAAGGTAGCCCCCCCCCCCCCAAAAAAAAAAAAAAAAAAAAGCAGTAGTTCTTTGTGAAGCGCTTAGCATTTTTCTCTCTGGCCTTAACAAAGCAGTCCCGCACCTACAGGAAGGGGGACAGTGAGAAATCAGGCGGCGAGAGGGTGTGGGGGGAGAAGCAGGTAACGGAAGGGGCTACCGGGCGCCCCACAGCCCCCTCTGTCCTCAGGGCACCCCCGGAGGCCGGGGCAGGCCAGCGAACGCCCACATTTTTCCCCAC